AAACTTACTTACTTTACTAATTGATTGATGTGTGTATATATATAACGTACAGATGCTTTGATTGATGTATCATGTGGTGGAAATGTGATATCCTCAGCCATGACCAATGGATCGGGAATGTTTGGCATAACTCTAAATCCGCTTCAATTTCCTCTGAGCAACCTTCTGTCGCCGAATTGCATTGTACGTGTTGTTACACCACTCTCCAATTGCAGCACAACACTGCCATCAACAGGAAGTCTGCAATCCCCAATACAATTCATCGGCACCACTGTTCAAGGCCCCATCAATATTTTAAATTTAGCGCCTGCAGCATTCCAACTCATCGGCAATTGATCATATATAATGTCATAATGTACCATCCAATAAATAAACTATTAAGGAATTAAACATCCTTATATATGTTTTGATCCTTGCTTTATACATCTATATCTCCAAGGTCTCTTTTATCATTGTAGGAAGTTTGTTGGCTACCTACACCTTAATTTGGATATTTAATTAATATGGTATTTAGGGGTCGTTTATCAAACGCTTACTGATAAAAGTCACTTATCTTATGTGACAACATTTTTTTGCCATCGAAAAGGATTAACGGTAAACGTTTATAACCCATTAAGTGCTTACCGGGTGAGATTCATCACCCTCATTTATCGGGTAAATGGAAGAAGGAGAGTGGAGAGGGACTAATCTGCCAATCTCTAAAAGTTTGAAAGTTTATTGGGTGGCTCAACCACAATTTGGAACCCTTATATTCAGTGTTGAGCCGAAAAAGGGTTTTAATTCATTATTCATAAAGCAATAAAAAGTCCTCTGGTGATCTGGTAAACGAGTGACTGAGGAGATACTAATAATTTGATGAACAACATTGAGCATTTTCAATGATTTTTTTTAAGTATATAATATTTATATACGGAAAATAGAACAAATAAACTCACACCCTTCTCACCTTTAGTGAGGTTTGAACCCTTGACCTCCTAGAAGACCAATGACTCAAATACCGCTAGGCAAAAGGCCCTTTGGTTTAATGATTTTTTGTTGATTCCATTATCTTTTATTATACAACTAAAAATTCACTATGGTTTATGGTGATGTTAATGATGACCTGTAATGGTGGCTCGATGGCCCCCAATTTGGCAAAAAAAGTCACCGGGTGGTAACTTTGGTTTTATGCAATTACTTATGAATAATTTGTGTTAACGGTTTATTTTAAGAAGTTAGGTCTTAGGCCGGTGGGGGGGGGGACTAGGGTTAGACATCGGGAAGCTTGAGTTGCGATGGTTAGGGGGTCGTGGATGGACTGGGTCTAACTCGTGGCCTAAGTCTTGGTCTGCTCATATTGGGCTAAAGCCATGGTTGGAGTTGGACGGTTGGGAGATAACTGGACCAAGCTTTGTAGGCCGTGAGGAAGCCCAAAGCTTATTAATTAATTGGTTGATTTATTTGATTATAAGTATAATTAATCAATCTAATTTCTATTTTAGTAAAGATATTATATTAGGTGTTTACTCAATTAATATATCAAAGATCACTGTTATTAATTTATATATTGCTAGTAGCGGGTATTTTTGATAAATTATTTCCTTATATTAAGTGACTTAATATTTAATTAAAATTGCCACAGTTGGATTAAAAATTATTAGAGCATTTAAATTCRGATCAAGGGATTTATGTAATTATAAAATGTTAATCCAACATTTGTATAGTTATAAAAATGCCAATTTACAAAAACAAGCAAATTTATTGATTTTTAAATACTCTTAAAAAAATAAATACCACCTTAGCTTTGTTCGTCTTTTACAATAAAAATCCCATTAAAAAAAAGACTTTAATGTTATGATGTTATTTTTGGATCGGATTAATTGGATTGAAAGTAAGTATAAATTATGATTTGATATGAGTTGAATTTTGTAGAAATATAGGGTTGAAGTAGGGTGATCCCCACCAGGGGCGGAACACAACCGTTGTAGTCCGGGGAGCCGAAATATAAGAGCATCTTCAATATATTTTTTAAAATTGAGAAAATGGAGATTTTAGGCATATTTTTGCTCCAATAGGCTCTCCAAAATTCTCCAAAACGGAGAAAACATGAGAGAGTGTAAACAAAAATTGATTACAATGAGAGAGAATCATTTTTTTCTCATCATATTCACACCGTTAAGAATCCTTGATATTAATGGTTTATAGGTCATTGACATATCATTTTGTCTTTATTTGACTGGGGCGGGGAGCTCGAGCCTGGTTTTAATAGAGTTTTAATTATCCATTTTGGAAATTTTTTGAAGAATATGTTGAAAATGCTATAATATTGTAAAAATTTGTAAATCCAAATGATTTGTTTTTAGACTATTAAATTTTAGAAAAAGATTGATTAATGTAATATTAAAACTCGAAACATTCAAAGTATTAACAGGAAAATAGTAATACCAATTTAAACATTATTTACATATAATTAATATATTATATTATTTACTCTAAAAACTTAAACATTCAAAGTATTAACCGAGAAATAGTAATACCGGTGTAATTTACTTTAAAAACTTATATTTACATATAATTAATATATTATATAAAAACTAATACATATAATTAAATATTAATAAATTAAATAAAGTGCAAAAAAATTGCTTGGAATGTGATTTGAAACAGCAACCTCCAGTATGTAGGTTGTACATCATTGTACAACCGAACAACTTAATGTATATGTTTTTAATAGCTTAGTTATAATATTTAAGTATAAAAGCAGGGGGCCATGGCCCCCAAAGGCCCCTATGGGTTCCGCCCCTGATCCCCACAACCCATGCACAAGTGAATGCATGCCTAAATTAAACCTATCTTTTTGGCTTTCAACTTTTCTTTCTTTACATGTCATGTTTTGATTTTCAAAATGAAAAAATAACCCACCTTTTATTTTTGGTTGCTTTGATCCACACATATTTATATACAAAAAGGATTTCTTACATATTTATTGGATGAAAACTAACATGCACCAAATACACACACTGAAGTGAAAACCACAAGAATGATATCTTATTATAAGAATTGAGTATTCAAAAATATTGAAATATGGTGTCAGGTTTGATTATCTGAAATTAGTAAGAACATATTAAACGAAAAGAAAGATGTGAGTATATATTAATAAAATAAGGGGATGCATGTGTGACAAACTTATAGAGTTGATATTAATCTTATATTTTATGGGAAAAGAATTGCTATAATCTTTATCTATATCTATACTACCTTATAAAACATATTTGATAAAAGTCTTAAAAACAACCTTAAATGCATAAGGTACTGCTTCTTTATGCATAAAGTCTTAAAAGTTTTAATTACAAGTCATTTATGCATATGGTACGACTCAACAATGTTTCACCTTTTACAACTCATACTTTTAAGTTTTATCTTTTACATATTTAGTTTTGGTTCCCAATAGACATTGAAAATTTAAACCATTTACCCCTTTCTAATTTTGACCCTTTATGTTACCAAGATTTTCATCTTATCATAAAAAACTCTCTTACCATTTCAAATGTAAACCTCAGATTTTCATAATTCACTATTGATTTTTCCCAATCACCTCCATTGCCCCAACTACATTCTTCTTCGCCTCTGTCGTTCCTCATTGTCTCTCCTCCAGTCGCATCGTCACCCTTACAACTTCCACATATTTTTATACTTGTATAAAGGTCTTCCTTTGGCTTTCTATTTTATTATTAGGGTTTGAGCTAGCTGCTTATTTTAAAGGTCGACATTTCGGAGCTTTGGATCTACATTTACAATAGTTGTATACATTAACAAACCCATTTGCTTTTAAGGGTTTCTTTGAGTCAATATATCCAAGATGGGTTGTGATTCGGGTCGAGTATCTTGCTCCAGCGCTCCAGTCCTTGGCAAATGCTTGTATCTTGCCCCACCGCTCCAGTCATTCGGGTTGTGATTAAGGGTTTATGAATAATTGTAGAACCTACCAACACCAACATTTTGGATGAATGTATATTTGAATCTAAATTAGATACAAATATAGTAGGCTTTTTTTACATCTTTAAGGAAATTGATATCTCAAAATTGAATTATCTTAATGAGCTTTTTACATCTCGCTGCATTGCGTGGGTAGACAACTAGTATATATATATATATATATATATATATATATATATGTGTGTGTGTGTGTGTGTGTGTGAAAAAGAACAAAAGGTTTTGAGACAACACCATGAGAAATAAGCATTCTCAAATAATGAATTGTGGATGAGTTTTAATTATCTCATATTGGTGATAAGTTAAATATTGAAATAGAAAGGATATGTGGATTGGATGATTGAGTATTCTTAAATATTGAAATGCGATTTTGGCTTTGTTATCCCACGTTGGTAAGAAGATGCTAAATTGTAAGAAAGATGTGAGTATATACTGATAAGAAGAGATGATGCGTTTTCGACAACTTATAATGTTGATGGTAATTAATCTTATTTTTTATGAGGTGAAAGTTACTATAACTACTTAAGATGAGGGATGCATTTGTGAAAAATTATACCTATTTTTATAGAAAATATATAATAGCTTGCTATTGGGATTTTTAATGATATGGTATTTTTTTTATTAACCTAGATATCCAACCCGCAATGCGAGCAGACTAATATCGTGGTAGCCACCTGCTTTGCGGGTAGCCAAAGTCATCGAATTTGAACCTCCATGGCCAAAAGAGGATTTTATTACTTCTTGGATTTGAACCTGGAACCTCCAAACACTTTTGATATTTGAAGTCCAAACTCGAACCATAATAGTGATATGGTTGTGGAGCACGTCGTATGAGCTTGAAGTTAATATAATATCAGAACTATTATAGGTGTATCACAAACTCACCCTAACACTAAAAGATTATGAATATATGCAAGTTACCACTTATGAAAATATGTTCCATTTCTTACATCGGATTTTATTAATTATTAACTGAGAAATTACGTTTTATTTTAACACGGCTCAGTCTTCCCTTGCAAAATTTATCGTCGCTGCGGAATGCGCGTAAAATTCTTATATTTGACAAATACCCAAATCATGATCAAATGTGAATTTCAAGATTGCGATGTGTTGGTGTGAAATACAAAATTCGGAATTCCATAAATCATGAATCAACTTGAGAAGCGTATAGCTTTATACGCAAAGAAAAATTTCTCATGATGCATGCCATGAATAACATAAACGAAGCACTAATTGGAGTCAAGAAAATATTCAAGCTTTGTATTCAAACGGTTTATGGTGATGTTAATGATGACCTTTAATGGTGCCTTTGATGGCCACCAATTTGGCAAAAATACGTCAACAGGTGGTGACTTTGGTATTATGCAATTATTTAAGACTAATTTGTATTGATGGTTTGTTGAAAGAAGAACGACGAAAATTGTTTAAGAAACAAAGAAGCGATTTTCAAAGC